CCTGGCTGGCAAGGGACAGTGACAGTGGTAAAAGATTAAGGTAAAACGGTTATCGTATAGATTGTCGTTGCGGGAAGAACAGGCACAAGGCGATCGTCTCCAACTGAAGCGAAGCAATGGGATTTCCTTTTCTTTCTTTCAAATTGGTGGCCGTGAAGATGCTAGGCGAACAGTGAAGCCAAAAGGTACAAAGATAATTCATAAAAGTGCTCGTTTGTATCATATAGACTGTATCATGGTCAAGGTGGCCGTGATGCAAGTGGTTCGTAGATGAGGGGAGTGTACACTAGACAAGCAAAGATGACCACCTTGGGCAACGAAAAGATGAACACAGGTGAAAAAAAAAGAGAGACGGGTCTCGACGGTTCCAAGGTTGCGACGGGCAGGCGAGAGAGACGAGTACCTATTAGTGATGCCACTGACTGCCAGCTCACACCCGCTGTTCCAAGAACGCAACCAAGTGGAGGCCAGTCCAGGCAGGGAGGGCAACACGATGACACATGATTGGACTGGGCTCGGGAGACTATGGACAGGGGGTTTAAGTGGTGGGCCTCCATGGATGGATGGATGGTAAAAGGGAAGGCTTAAGTTGAACTGACCAGTCCCGTCATTCTTGCCCGTGTTTGACAAGACGCAACCTCTTTATCCTCTCTCTCTCCGTCTCCGTCCCAATCGTCCAGGTCCAGGCCGAGTAGAGGTAGTACCCCATACTTCCCTCTTGATCATCTGAATGTCGTCAGAGACATGTCTTGCACGGATTGGGCCAGACCAGGATGATTGATATATGCTTGATAGCGGGGACGTTATAAGTATGTAACGATGAGTAGCCGTTGAGGTGTCTTTTTTCCTTCTTTTGTGCAGCACGCGCAGGCATTTTGCTCGAGTTGACGGGCATGTATGTCTATGTACTGCACCCACCTGTCAGGCAGGCTTGAGCACATCCGCTAGGTAGTCGGGTACTTCCGCTCATACCTGCAAAGCCCATTCTGTTCACAGGAATGTAGGTTCCAACCTATCTTTTACTTCCATCTTCAATTCAATGCCAGATCCTATCTCACGGAGAGTCGAGCGACGCCGGGGTTGTCGACCGGCACGGAACCGAACAACCGTCATCGGCTACACCAAACTTGCCGCAGCATTAACGTCCAACCTTTGGCCTTGAATTCTCGATACCTACTTGCTCATCTCGCGAGTAACACGTTCTATCGATACTTGGAGATCATGGATCATAGTCAGCTTTAAAGACACCAGGCCCGGAAGATGCCGACGCTACTGCTCCCCCTCTTGGACTTCTCCAGCTCTTGAATAACTGCCCAACTGGAATGTGCACCGGCACCGTGATTCGAGAGCTTCAATTGACTGGCCTTGGCGCGAGCTTGCGCGTCCATTTCGTGCTCCAATCCCACATTGGCCAACCAGAAGCGCATGAACGACGCCCAAGTGCGGGGGCCTCGAAGGGGGGGCCTACTTCAAGTACGCCATGTACCTAAGTGCTTGACCTTTCGACTTTCAACACCACCACTTTCTCCCACTCGACAAACGGAATCGAGATTTCAATTTTCACAACTGGAATGCCATGATGACCAGGGGACTCGGCCGTTCCAATGCTCTCAGCATCGGACTTGGCATACCGGTCCCTGCCAAGTGGAATGAGAATCCAAGGGACTGGAGGCCCGAGTGATCGGGAACGACCTTCTGTTAAGGAAATTAGGTGACATCATCGGTCTTGACCGTCACTCCCTTTGCAGCACACAGGAGACGGTAAGACGATTGATCGTGGGCTATACGAAGCTATACGCTTGATCCGCTGTCGTCGCCATCTTCCGGCTCGTCACTCGGTCCGATCGGGGGAACGGACAAGACATTGTGTCTTGCGCTTTCATCCCTTTGTCTCTCCTTACACTTGCTCACTTTGGACCGCATCTCTGCTCGAGCACTGGAGCGCGGTTCTGCATCCGCACAAGCCTCTACCGTCTACGTGACAGACAAGTGATGCCGCAATGCATGCTCATATGTCGATACGCATCCTGTGTAGCGGCTCGCTCCTTTTGGGCTGCAACCCCGTTGACTCTGCGCCCGTGCAATTACTGTATACCGGTTGATACAGACGTGTATGGGCTCCTCATATAGCCATGTCATGGACTGTCTACTCTCGAGCCAAGGGTTCATTACTCAAGAGATGGGGAGTCGAGCTCATGATGCCCAAATCCACCCACCTACCCGCCCTAGGCATGCAAGAACGATATCCACCGCCTCCACCGCCTAATGCAATCCGAGCAGCTAAGGTATGCAACATGGGGGAATGACGGGTACATATGCAACCACTATATGTACGAAATTCCAGGGCTCGCAGATACAAAACCGTCGCCTAAAGTGAAGCCGACGAAAGAGGGGACAGGATCAACACCTCCACCACCATGACGATCGACCACGAGGGGTTCGTGATGTTCAAATCTTGCATACATACATAGTCGATAGCTACAACCTAGTGTAGCTCGCCGTTCGACCCCTCGAAACAAAGATACAAGCATCGCACCGTTTCCCGCAGTGAAACCAAATTCTGGACTACTTTATCCACCCAAGAACTATATGAGATCCAGTTCTAGAAGAAAGGCCGACAAATGGTCGGAACTCGCTTTGAGAGCACCCCCTCAAGAATCGAGTCCAAGTCCATCTGAAACAATGAAGCTCTGAACGCCCTCCCCACCCATCCACACACACACATACATGCACAACAACAGCACAGCATATGCAACCCTCTTTTCTGGACCGACGCATCTGCGCATCTGCGCGAACACATCCCAAAAGTCAAGTTGCCTTTGTGGACTTTCTGTCCACTTACACTCGATACCCAATCACATGTTAGCGACTTTCAGCACTTTTTCAGCAACTCACATCCAGTCAACCAACGTGTACAAACCTATCATATCATAAAAAAAAAACCCCAAGAGAAAGGATACTGCAACCTATGGGCATCTTCTCCGTCGACCTCTTTTACCTATCCTTCTGTCTATCTATCTCTACCTATCTCTACCTTTGTCTACCCACCTTCTCGCTCTCTCGTCCAGTCAGTCCTCTTCTCGCTTTCCTTCAAAGCCCATCCGTTCGACGGCTCGAGGATTCGTACTCGGTCCGTACCCTCCACCAGCCTTCATCTTTATGCAACCACTTCCAGAGCATTTCAGTTGATTTACAATCATGGTTTCGCCGTCGTTACTGGAGGTACCTACAGTAACACCAGAAGCCCCAGCGAGATGCAACAACGATCTCCCTTCTCAATATCGACTTGATTAGTAACTCACTATTGCGGTACGTGTAGACAGTGAGTAGCTGGTCGAAGAGGAGTGCGTACTGTGAACATGTCAACCAACCTACATGCGTCGATAACCTAACCCAATTTTCCGCGCAAAATCGCTGTTTGATAGATATACCGAACATTGTTCCACAATTAAGGCTGTCAGTCATTGCAAATCTGAACCAAAATAGCAGACGAGCAGAGACTAGGCAGATGTGTAAATAGGCAATAGTGTAGAGACAAGTAAGTTAACGGAACCAGCACAGCCCCGGCGAATTGCGCGGCGACCGACATCATCATATCGATGTGTCGTATCAATACGATATGCAAAACGGAGAATAAGTCCGCAAGCCACCACCCACCACATAGCCAAAAAAAAAAAAAAAAAAAAAAAAAAAAAAAAAAAAAAAAAAACACAAAAAATCCGCAAGCCATCCATCATATGCAGTCAGTGAGCGCTTACTTACCTTGAAAACTCAAATTGGAACTGATTATTTCACTTTCCAGAGATACTGAACTTCATCAGCTTCCAAAACTCGGGAAAACGGTAGGTACAGTTCATCTGATCCATCCCCACGCAATCAATCCACTTCTTCAATACCTCTCTCTATAGCAACCACATCCATATCTTCTCTTTCCCCCACCTCTTCCAACACAATCCTCAACAATCAAGCCCAAATTAGAAAACAAACCGATCGATCTTCAAAAGATGAGTGATAAATCAGGGGAAAAAAACAACCTAGAACGGTGTCGAAAAAAAAAAAGATGAGAAAAAAGGAAGGAAAAAAACATACAACACCTGGGATTCGCTGGTCGTCACCGACCCAACTACTAGTCAGGCCCTCACTGGCTTATCTATGGGAGAGCGGACGGGATCCCGAGTTTTCCAATGGGTATGGTCGTATGTGATTTTGAGCAGTAACAGGAGGTATTATATTATCCAGAATCAGCTCAGAGGTATATGTATGTAATGAGATGGGTTGAGTGAGGGATACAGTGGTTGTGTTGTGATGGTGGTAGATGAAACTTGTTGGGTCATTTCGAGTTCCGCCGTTCGATGTTGAGGCAAGCATTTCACAAAACCTTACTCATAGAGCTCACTTGCGCCCAAGTCGGGTCCGTTGCAATACAAACTTAGGTGCGAACAAACATGATCAAATACACTGGATTCAACTAATCTGCAAAAGAAAAAAAAGGGAATAAGTCCTCGATCGACAGACACTATACGGCGTCTCGATAACCAAAGAGATTAGAACTTGAACAAGTCCAATGTCCTGAAGTAGGTAAAGGTAGAGGTGGATGTAGATAAACCGAGACTCGACTCGATGCGTGCCCTGTGCCAATCGAGTTCGTGTGTGAATGTGTTCCATGTGTACGTGTCTGTGTGTGCCTGCGTGTGCGTCTGTCTTCTCCATCCATATTCTTGTGTCTTCCCAACCACCCTTGTTCCAGTCTCCCTCCCTCTCTCCGTCTTCCTTTTCTCCTTGCAACCATCCGCCTTCACTGCACAAAATCTCCGGTCTCTTTCTGTCCATCCAACATTTTTGTTTCATACAACGCCTTCTGCGTAACCATCCACCATGCGCGTCCCCAACCACCTCCATACCATACCTTCTCCTTCTTCCTACATCCTTTCTACCTGACCTGACCTGACACAGCAGCAAGCTAGTACAACTGTACCACCACCGCTCGCATCCGAGCCGCATGAACCCCTAACTCCCGCATGACCATCTTCCCATTGCCACATACGCCACTGGTCTAAGACAACGCCTCAATGCTAGAGCACTGTAGACATCGCTTAGTCGAGCACCCGGCCGGCAACAGCAGCTTGGCTCTTGTCCTTCGTCTGCGTCTTCTTGAGAGCCCTGCCGGCTTGGATCTCTCCAAGGAGGCCAGCGGGTCTTCCAGCAGGAAGAGAGGGAGCAGGAGCACCACCAGGAGGAGGGGGTGGCGGGGGAGGAACGGCACCAGGAGCCGGAGGGGGACCGGGAGGAGGGGCGGGGGAGGAGCAGCAGGGGCTCCGGACTCAGGCATAGGCGGAGGAGGAGGAGGCGGCGGGGGAGCACCACCGCTGGGAGCAGGAGGAGGACCCGGGGGAGGGGGCGGAGGAGGAGGAGGAGAACCAGCAGAGGGCTCCACTGGGGCCGGAGGAGGGGGAGGCGAGCTAGGGGAGCTCACAACCGGAGGAGTGCTTGCAGTAGGCTTGTCACCGGTGGCGGATAGGGGACGAGGAGGCGCCATGGTACCAAAGAGAATGGAGGCAAGCGCAGCGGCGCTATTGCCGCCCGGTCTGCCCTCGTCATCGGAGTCCTCATCGTCCGAGCCCTTCTCTGAGCCCCAGTCATCATCATCATCATCGTTGGGACGACGTCTGCTAGGCATTACACCACTAATAGCATCGCTAATACCGCTGACAGCACCACTAACAGCGCTGCTAACAGCAGCAGCTGGCGCGGCGGCTGCCTGCGTCATGCGGTGAAACGGGTTAGTCGAGACATCGGCCTGCGGAGGAGGCGAAGCGACTGGTGCAGCAACCGAAGAAGTAGATGCTTCAGAGGACTGGGACATCATTTTGAAGTACGGGTTGCGACTCTCCCTCTCGGCGTTGGGGCTAGTCGTAACGATCTGGGGAGGCGAGGCCACAGACGCCGGGGCAGGAGGAGGGGGAGAGTTGGGCTCCTGCTCGTGAGTGCCGACTTGGCTACCACCAACAGTAGGAGTAGACGCCTGGGGAGTGATTTGCTCCGGGCCCTCGTCGTCGGAAGAAGAGCTGTCTTCATCGTCGATCGCTTCGAGTTGCTTGCGGAGCTCCTCTTCACGCTTACGGGCGGCCTCGATTTCGGCACGGCGAGCAGCCAACTGGGCCTCCTTTTCCTTAGCCTCAGCCATAGCAGCCTTCTTCTTACGCTTCTCCTCTTCCTTCTTCAGCTTGCCCAGACGGACTTGCTCTTCCAGGGCCTTGAGACGAGCGTCAGCTTCCGCACGTTCCTTGGCAAGTTCGTCTTCTTGGGCCTTGGCGCTTTCCCTGTAAAACATCATTAGTCGCAGTGTAAATGCAAACGCGTCAATGTAGACAGTGACTTACTCCAGCTCACGAGTTTCACGCTCCTGCTCCTCGCGCTCACGTTCCAGGCGTTCTTCCTCAGCCTTCTTAGCGGCAGCCTCTTCGTCGCGTCTATCATCAGCCTTACCGGCCTTTCTGCTCGGGGGCGGAGGGGGCGGGCGAGAATCGGCCTTGGGAGATGCGACAGGCGCAGGCCCGCCCTCCTCTTCAGCCAGTTTCGCTTGTCTTTCGGCCTCACGACGAGCATCTTCCTCTTCGGCCTGACGCCGCTTCTCAGCTCGCTCAGCCCTTTCGCGCTCAGCTCGCTGAGCGGCAGTCTCACCCGGCTTACCGGGAGCCTTGAGTCCGAGAGCAGCAAGGCGCTCAGCCATGCGCTGCTCGGCCTGCTGCTTGATGAAGGCAGCGCGCTCCTCTGGTGTCTTGTAGGAAGAGTAAGAACCGCCGCCAGCAGTGGAAGCCGGGGTAGATGTCCGCGAAATCGACGGGGAAGGGGTTTCTACGCGGGCAGAAACGGGGGCCTCAGCCTTGACAGGTTCCTGGGTGGCCTTACGGCCGCCCTGGCGGTCCTGAGACCGAATGCGAGCGGCCCGGCTTTCCCGCTGAAGATCGAAGATGAAGTCTCTGACCTCGTCCTCCACGCCAAGGGCATCCTCCCAGCGACGCTTCTCGTGTTCAGAGGTGGAATCCGCAGCACCCTCCTTGAGACTATCTTCAATACCCTTGGCGAATTCGCGGACGCTATCTTCAACGTCCCTGACCATGCGCTCGTTGTTCTCTTTTTCGGTCTTGATTTTGATGTTCTCATCTTCCAAGCGCTTGGGGGCATCGGCATCATCATCACCGATATCGATCTTCTTGCCCATCAAGGCAGCTGTCCGCTGCTGCATCATGGCCTTCGCACGGGCCTTGATTCTGTCGGACTCGGTGACCATACCACCCGGACCAGTACCGACAATAGCGGCGGCGCTGTTAGGATGAGCCTTGGCATCCTTGAGGCGGAAGAGCTCAAGTCTGGCGTCGGCAATGGCCTTCTCAGTCTTCCGAACCTGGGACGCAAGCTCTGGAATTCTGTCAGTAAGCTGCTGCAGCTGGCGTTTGAGTGCGCGTCTCTCGGCGTCAGAGTCGGCGCTCATCAGCTGGGCATCTGGATGATTGTCAATGTCCTCCTGGATTCTTCGGATACGGCGGTATAGTTCATCGGCCTCGCGCCGGTCGCGTCTGTCAAGAATGTCGTCCTCCTCCATGTTCTTCTCATCGTTGAAATCCATGGCATCAAGAAGTACCTGCTTCTCCTTGATCTTCTTGCGAAGTTGCTCAATAGTTAGGTCATCACCGGAGTTACTGGCCGCCGGAGATTCGGGACGAGGAGACGTGCCCATGCGACGGCGCGCGCTGGAGCGATACCCCACCTCCTCATCGTTGTTCTTGAACACGGTAGCATCCTTGCGGTTGGCCCCAGTGTTCTTGAAAGAGTGGCCTTTAAGATAGCTGACGCCGGTCTTCTGGGGCAGCAACGAGGCCCCAGTATTTTTGCGGAGCTCGGATTCCTGATGAAGCATGTTTTTGACCATACCAATAGACGCACTGAGGTTTCTCGCAGACGGAGGAACAAGCTCAGGAGGAAGCTGGTTAGGAATAGGGTAGCCGTTAAGCTTGCGGTAAATCAGATGCATAGCCACCGCAAATTCATCCAAATCCAGGCGGCCCTTGTTTCCATTGTCGGCGAGGGTCCAAATGCGCTCAAGATCAGGCTTGTCCAAGCCACTTTGGCCAAAGATCTCAATAGCAGCATCGCCAGCGATGAAACCTTTGTTCAGACCATCCCAAGCCCGGAACAGAGCATCGTACCTCGTCTTCTCGTCCTTGGTGATGGCCCAGGGGATGACGGCATTACCTTGAAGTCCGGCCGTAGTATAATTCCGCTGTTCACGTCCCAGTTGAGGCATCATGCGAGCCTGGAGCGCATCGATGAGAGGCAATCCGGTGGCAGGCGTATTGACCAGTCCCCATTGTCCAGGCATTCCAGTGGGCTGAGAGTTGAGAGGAGCAACCATGCCGCCAGGGCCAGCGTTAGGCGACAGACTTGAGCCAAATCCGGTCGGCATGGGAGGCATGGGAGGCATAGGACCGGCGTAGCCAGTTGGCTGGGGGTTCATTCCCGGGAATCCAGTCTGCTGGGGTTGAAGGCCCTGGTTCTGACCCATGAAACCGGTTTGCTGAGCAGGAAAACCAGTCATCTGCGCCTGGAGAATCGCCGAGTTTGACGGCTGGGGCTGGGGCTGTTGAATGGTCGGAACGGCCGCCGCATTCTGCTGCGTAGCAAAGCTGGGGGCGTTAGATGCCGGGGCAGAGCTAGAGCCCGCATCGTCGGTGATACTGAAGTTGATGATGTCCACCATGCTCGAAACCTCATTCTTGATATGATCAGGTAGGACGCTAGGAAGTGCCTTGCCAGTGATCTTGAGGTTGCAAAGGTACATGGCCAGGGCAAACTCGGGGAAGTGTAGCTGCCCAGATCTTGTGGTATCCGCCAATGTCCAGATTTGTGATAGCGAGTCTCCATCCAGCTTCGACCGCAGAAGAAGATCCCTCGCCTTTTCACCCGACATGGTAGTCTGTCCATCTCCCACAGCCGACTTGAAAAGCGTCTCGAACCTGGCCTGGTCATGCGCCGTGATGAAAGACAGGCGGATGTTGGGGATCTTGACAGTGTTGGTCTTCTGCTCGGCCCTCCGTCCCTTGCCCCCAGCCGTCTGGAAAGAGGCGGCCATCTCAGAAAAGCCCGTAGCCTGGGGCTTCACGGGCGGAGGAGGGGCGATGCCACCCTGGGCGGTCGGGGCAGGCTGTTGAGCCGGCGCTTGAATCTGTACGGATGGGAACCCAGTCGGCTGGGGTTGCTGAATCGATGGTTGCTGCTGCTGGAACGACTGCTGTTGCTGGAACTGCTGGGGAATTGCTGGGACAGGAGGCATGCCGGTTTGGAACGGCTGCTGTTGGGGCGCTTGGGGCTGGAAGCCAGTAGCCTGAGGCTGGAAACCGGTGAACTGTTGCTGAAGCTGAGGCTGTTGCTGGGGGGCCTGCAACCCCGGGTATCCCGTGAACTGCTGCTGGAGCGGCTGCTGTTGTTGCTGACCATAGCCGGTCGGTTGTGGACCAAAGCCGGTAGGTTGGGGAGCGAACCCGGTCGGCTGCGGCGCAAACCCGGTCGGCTGAGGCTGCATCGGGCCCTGTTGGCCAAACGGACTCGGGGCGCCGTATTGTTGCTGTTGCTGCTGCGGCTGCTGGCCGGGACGAAGGCTGTTGGCGCCCCCGAGGAAGGCATTCGAGTTCGAGTACATGATGGGCGGCTCCTCCTCGTGTATATTACTAAATGCAATTCGATGGCCCTGGTGTCGGGTCTAGGAGTCTCGGACGAGGAAGAGAGGGGCTTGGGGCTGCGGAAACGGACGCAGCAACACCTGATACACGACGAGGGGAAAAGGGGGTTCAAGGAGCGGAGAGGCAACTGGCGAAAGAGAGGCAGCAAGCTCCTCTTGGTCGGCAGTCACGGAATGGGGGTGACGAGTAGTTGAATTAGAGTAGTGATTATGGTGTAGATAGACAAGATGTAAATGCCAAGTATGGAATGCGATGCGCCGTGGAAGCGCTCGTGTGATGACGACGACGACGACGACAGCACTTGCGGCGGTCGGGTGTTGTTGTTGTTGCGTGTGTCAGGGTCAGGGTGGTCAGTGTCAAGTGTCCAGCGTCGGGCAGGCAAATCAGTGCGGTGAATCGATGTCACTCCCCAACCAACCTAAACACCAAGGACTGGACCACCACGCCCCGTTCCTTGGTTGGAGCCACTGCAGTTGGAAGCGGGAACTAATAACATGGAAAATGAGCAAATGGAGCTGGAATACCATATGGCCCGTCCAATGGATGCTCTCCATTGCTTCTCTTTTGCTCCACCTTTTCCATGCTCACGGCAGGCAAAGAAGCAACAGCGAAGCTTCCCTGTATGTACTATGTACTGCGATAGTAGACTTCAGGAACGGGCGGACTGGGCTCGCTAGTAAGGTGCTTGGACCACTCTAGCTACATATGTATGATCCGTGCTCGGGCCGCTTCGCTTCCACGTGACAGTTTCTTTCACTTCCCCTGAGCACAGGCCACATGAAAGAATGAAGCTTCAACTACTGAAAGAAGCTTGGGCCAGCTTGACTTCTTCAACGTCGACGCCTCCAGGCCGAATCTCCCCTAGCTGCCAAGACCCGAATCCATCGGCCGAGAGCAACGTCGGGGGCTGGCCTGTGCGGCCGAATGGAGCTCCCCAGACTATCGGCTGCTCGGTCACAAAATTTTCCAGACAAGCATTGAGGTCCCCGCGCGTTCCCTCCCGCCGCCGCTCCGTTCAATGGGCAAAAATAGCATGGTCGTCCTGGCTTTCTGCACGGAGTCGGGCTCCTCACCACCCTCACCACACCTCATCGCAATGGATTCCGACCTGAAGCTGCAGAGGATGACTCCTTTTATTCCCAGCTCCAGCCAGCCCGGTGGAGACAAGGCCGGTCACATCATCGCTTCGATGGATAGCGTTTGCGTGTCATTTTGATATGACCGTACCAGGACGTCGTGTACATGGTGTAAAAGTCCAGAGTCGCCGATCACAGTTTTCATTGGGCCTGTGGTCCCTGAGTGGTGCTGATGCGGGCAAAAATCGGAGCACTACCTACAGCTGGCATGATGGCGTCCAGTGAGTCTGTCCCTTTTTAACTGGCAAACAATCAGAAGCTTCACAAAAGCGTCGAAAGATTTGTGGGTTGCGGCAACATGCGCCCCACGCCAGTACCCCCGCCTCCTGGTCCCTGATGCTGCGAGTGCAAAGATTTGAGTTTGGCGCGCCATTGGCGACTGAGACGGTAACCCCTTGCCCAGTACGACCCAGGCCCCTGGTGAGCCCCGCGATGTTCATTGTAGCTCGAGTAAGGTATGTAGCCCACAATCGCCCGCAACAATCATCAACAGATAGACACCCCTCATTGCCAATTTGAAACTTTAGTTTTTTTGAGCGCTGCGCGAGAAGCAGTGTATGTACGGAGTTTCGTACGGAGGCATGGAGATTGTTGGAGTCTCAATGGGTCAATGGGGGGCGAGATTGACCAGCGCCGAGTCGTTGTTCGCCTCCTGGGGCTCGCTCGCATGTGCAGAGAAGTGCAGAGCTGCAGAACTGCAGATGCTAGAGGCACAGCAAGCATCAAATTCAAACCAGTCAATGCCATCCCATGTCGCGCTACCCCGCCGACAAAAGAACACATCAAAAAATCTAGACAATGCCAAAATGCCCATCCTCCATTGAGATCTGCCAGCTGTCAGTCCGCGTGCATTTTGTTGAGCTGTTCCGTCCATAGCATTCATTGTTCGTGAGAAAATCCGGCCAAAGAGAGGCGAGGAGAGCTTGAGCTTAGTAGGGTGGGCGCCATGAGTGGAAGAGTGAGCCCCACACCGATCACGGCCTCCAGCTGTCCACGCCCAGGCTCCCCAATTCCTCCCAAGGCGGGCCAAGGTCCGAAAATCAGACTAGGTCACCGCACTCGAACCCCCCCCCCTCCCCGGTCTTCCACCCATCCAATCCGGTCAACCAGCCCACTTTGACTCGCGCTTCCTCCTCTCGTCTCTCTGGCTGCTTCCCTCTCAGATCTCCCCCTCCACTTCCTCGCTCGGTCCCCTCACATAAATAAACTCGGACCTTCCCCTCTCTCTTTCTCAGAAACTCCCTCCACCATTCCTCCATCCATCCTGTCCTCTTTTCCCCCTCGCCCATTTTTGCTCTTTGTCCCAAGAGCAGTCGCGAGGTCCTTTCTATACCCCCCTAATCTCCGTTTGTTCACACAATCACACATCACAATGGTCCAGTCATCGGTTCTGGGTTTCCCGTAAGTTGCTCCGGCTGCTATCCATCACACCAATTGGCTCTGAACCGACATCGCTAACATCATGCTTCAGCCGCATGGGTGTCCTTCGTGACCTCAAGAAGGCTAACGAGGCTTACTGGGCTGACAAGATCTCCCAGGAGGCTCTCCTCGCCGAGGGTAAGAGGCTCCGTCTCGCCCACTGGAAGATCCAGAAGGATGCCGGTGTCGACATCATCCCCTCCAACGACTTCGCTCACTATGACCACGTCCTCGACCACATCCAGCTCTTCAATGTACGTTGGCCTCTAACTACAAGCAGCTCCACCCCCATCTCCACTTCCTGGGATTGCGTCAACTAACTGGCCCCACTCTCTACTAGGCTGTTCCCGAGCGTTACACTTCCCAGAAGCTCTCCCCTCTCGATGAGTACTTCGCCATGGGCCGTGGCCACCAGAAGGGTGGTGTCGATGTCCCCGCCCTCGAGATGGTTAAGTGGTTTGACTCCAACTACCACTACGTCAAGCCCACTCTCCAGGACAACCAGACCTTCTCCCTCGCCAAGGACCCCAAGCCCGTCCGCGAGTTCCTCGAGGCCAAGGAGGCTGGTTTCCAGACCCGCCCCGTCCTTGTCGGCCCCGTCTCCTTCCTTGCTCTTGGCAAGGCTGACCGTGGCTCCTCCGTCGACCCCATCACCCTCCTCGACAAGCTTGTCCCTGTCTACGTCGAGCTCCTGAAGCAGCTCAAGGCCGCTGGTGCCGAGTCTGTCCAGATTGACGAGCCCGTCCTCGTCTTCGATCTCCGCCCCGAGGTCAAGGCTGCCTTCAAGCCCGCCTATGAGGCCATTGCCGCCGCTGGTGATGCCGTCCCCAAGGTCATTGTTGCCACTTACTTCGGTGACATCGTCCACAACTTCGACGTTCTCCCCGCTTTCTCCGGCGCTGCTGGTCTCCACGTCGACCTTGTCCGCAACCCCGAGCAGCTTGAGCCTGTCCTCAAGCAGCTCGGCCCTAACCAGATCCTCTCTGCCGGTGTTGTCGATGGCCGCAACATCTGGAAGAACGACTTCGCCAAGTCGCTCGAGATCCTCCAGACTGCCGTCAAGGCCCTTGGCCCTGAGCGCGTCATCGTCGCCACCTCCAGCTCCCTCATCCACACTCCCCACACCCTCGCCAGCGAGAAGAAGCTCCCCTCTGATGTCTACGAGTGGTTCTCTTTCGCCGTCGAGAAGGTCAAGGAGGTTGCTACCCTCGCCAAGGCTGTGACCGAGCCCGATGCCGTCAAGGCTGAGCTTGAGGCCAACGCTGCTGCCATCAAGGCCCGCACTGACTCCAAGCGCACCAACGACCCCGCTGTCAAGGAGCGCCAGGCCCAGGTTACCCCTGAGCAGCACAACCGCAAGGCCCCCTTCAACACTCGCTACGCCGAGCAGAAGAAGCACCTTTCTCTCCCTCTCTTCCCCACCACCACCATCGGCTCTTTCCCCCAGACCTCCGAGATCCGTGTCCAGCGTAACAAGTTCACCAAGGGTGAGATCTCCGCCGAGGAGTACGAGCGCTTCATTGAGAAGGAGATTGAGCTCGCCGTCAAGATCCAGGATGAGCTCGACCTCGATGTCTACGTTCACGGTGAGCCCGAGCGTAACGACATGGTTCAGTACTTCGGTGAGCGCCTCAACGGCTACGTCTTCACCACCCACGCCTGGGTCCAGTCTTATGGCTCCCGCTGCGTCCGTCCCCCCATCATTGTCGGTGATATCTCTCGCCCCGCTCCCATGACCGTCAAGGAGTCCAAGTACGCTGCCTCTATCTCCAAGAAGCCCATGAAGGGCATGCTTACTGGCCCCGTTACCTGCCTCCGGTGGTCTTTCCCCCGTGTCGATGTTCACCAGTCCGTCCAGTGCCAGCAGCTCGCTCTGGCTCTCCGCGACGAGGTTGTCGACCTTGAGAAGAACGGCATCTACGTCATCCAGGTCGATGAGCCTGCCCTCCGTGAGGGTCTCCCTCTCCGTAAGGGTCAGGAGCGTGAAGCCTACCTCAAGTGGGCTGTCGACTCCTTCAAGCTCGCCACCGCTGGCGTCGAGAACTCCACTCAGATTCACTCTCACTTCTGCTACTCTGAGTTCCAGGACTTCTTCCACGCCATCGCTGCCCTTGATGCCGATGTCCTCTCCATCGAGAACTCCAAGTCCGATGCCAAGCTCCTCAAGGTCTTCATTGACGAGGAGTACCCCCGCCACATCGGCCCTGGTGTCTACGACATCCACTCTCCTCGTGTCCCCACCCTTGAGGAGTTCAAGCAGCGCATCGAGGAGATGCTTGCTTACCTCAAGCCTGAGCAGCTCTGGATCAACCCCGACTGCGGTCTTAAGACCCGCAAGTGGGATGAGGTCAAGGGTGCCCTCTCCCACATGGTTGAGGCCGCCAAGTACTTCCGTGAGAAGTATGCCAACAAGGCTTAAAGAGTCTTCTCAACTCGACAAACATGCATCTCATATGATGGGGTGCGTGACGTGCTTTTAATTTTTCCGGGTTTTTCTTCAACAGCATTAGCATTCACAGAGGCGGTCAAGGGTTCACTTCACGGATTTACGTTACAAATTATGGGAAAATGATCATGATACCTCCAAAAGCGCCACTTCAACTCGGCGTTCGATACCACAGGGACAAGGGGAAAAACCGGATTTATGATTTCAACAGAGCATTAGCATTTATGAGACGGGGTTGCCGCCATCTCAACACGGCGTTTGAGGGTATAAAAATTGAAAAGGAGACGTGGAACAGGCATGGATACTTCTCATATACCATCGGGACGCTTTTTGCGTTTAATTTATAGAAATGAAAAGGAATGGAGTTTACCAAACCATCATCTGCTGCCATTGCCTGATTTCTGACAATGATAATTCGGATGTGTGTGATGAAAACTTTTGGACCACCAGCTCAGCTAAATGATGTGAACATCCGGCGGTATTTCTTTCTCTTTTTTTTTTTTCCCTCCCAACCACAAAGCCGTCATACTACCGAATTCTCTTCTTTACGGTGGGACGGGTAGAAGAGTATCCTCACTAGATTCTATGAGAGTAAGAGATCTGGTGATGGCTTCCAACAAATGTTTTCTCGCTTGCATGTATCTAGATGACTATGTCCTGATTTATTTTGCAGTCGTTTTCTCTCATGTAGTTTGTTACATACTAATTGTGAATACGGCCGGCCGGCCGATAGATACATATAAATACAAATAAGAAGTATACCGGGCTCAAAAGAAGAAGTCCGTCCGGGAAGGTAATAATGTTTTCAAATTCATGGTGGAAACATATTTCACAGACGCAAAACCAGACCCGGGCAAAATAGTAACGAACGAGATTTCTGCTTTACTTTGCTAGCGTTATAAGGCATATCATATCGACAGTTGATGTTGACGGTTTTATTAGTTCAGTGACCCTCAGAACCTTCGGTAGACAGTAGTACAGTAGACAACCTACCTACCTGCCTACCCATCAGCCCATCTCCCTTTGCAATTCAAACTTGGTTGAATCAAAGTTCAAGTTAAAATTGATGTATGCCGGAATTATATAAACGAATAACAACATTGTGTAAAAAAAAACCTTCGTTTCAACGGAACAAAACAAAAAACACAAAACAACGCCGCCTTGTGATTCGTGTCGTTGGTTGACCATGAGTAGTATAGAGATACCAAATACCAAAACAAGCAAGATTTCGCTTTCTCGTTTCTCGTTTCTCGCTTCTCGCTGGCCCACCCTTCTTGCCTCCTGTTCCAGCCCCTTATGTATTTCCGTGATCCGGGGTACGTAACGTGCCTGTCCTATGTTGGTATCCTTGAATACCTAACCGACCGAAATACTATAGTAGTTGAGAGTCTCAGGAGCCAGTGATAGATAAGTGAGAAACACCATTCAACTGGCTTCGTCGTCATCATCAATCCAACCAGACCAATATATTCTTTTTGTACTCGTCACGGTCAATCCCCTTGATTCATGTGCGCCGCATCTGCCTATTTTATGCTCTGAACCCTTATACCGGCCTCCAACCTGCAGCTGTGTTCATCGCAAGTAATGGCGGTGTAATGTTATGTGCTTGAAAACAAGATCGAATAGACTTCGACCCTCCTCGCGGTCCTAGTGTTGCTTGGCTCTTCATCATGTTGCCTTGCAAGTCGCCAAGTCGCAAACAGCCTTTGAAGTGCACGCCACGCTTCAAAAGACCTACATCGCTTCATTAAGCATTCTCGTGGATATGCAGCTGCGCAAAGGCATTCGTGGCGTCCAGCCTCCCGTTGACGTTGACCTCAAGCAGCGACTGTTTTCCATTGTTTCCGTTTCCATCAGCGCTTCCAATAGGACTGGTAGTGTTGGTGCTAGAGGTCATTCCCAGGTCCAGCGGGCTGTTGGGCTCGGATCCTCCATCAGGCGTCGGAAGGGCTGAGGAAATGTGGAGAGAAGGCGATGCCGGGTCTAGCGACGGGGGCGCACTGCTGCTATTTTTGACAAGCTCCTCCTTCTCGTCAATGTCCTTCCTGAGCTCGTTGATAATGCCTTGGAATCTCTTGAGGGCATTTCTCTGTCTCTCGTCTAGTCCCTTGTGATTCTTGAGCAGCTCGTTGATCTTAGGCTCGAGCGTGTCGATGAAAAATTGCTGTTCTTCATTACTGAACGTGGAGTGTTTGACGAGTTTCTCTGTTCATGTGTTAGCTATGTTTCGGTGAGCACCGGGGGAGCTCGGATATCAACATACGAATCACATAGTTGGCAAAGTGATCCAGCATAAGGAACCGAAGAAAAGAGTCGGGTGACTGATGGTCGGAAGAATACCCCCCCACACCATCCTGCGGACTGAAGAACATGTCCCTGATACGGCGAACGTCCTCCGGGGTGCCATAATTGATGCACTTCTCCACCACGTTCGAGGCGTGTTTGTGTGTCGAGAGAGTGATCGTCTGGGACATGACTGCAGCAATCATGCGGGCGCGGTCTTCTGGTTTCCCGGCTTCGATAATGTGCTGGGCAACGTAGTTTCCATACGCATCAGTGATCAAGGTGTGAGCACCCTTGTGCAACTCAGACACAAGATAGAGCCTGTCCTCTTCGTTCCCGTGCTCCAAAGCTCTCTGGATGACTCTGCAAGCGTACTGGTTCAGTGCCAGTTCCATCACCTTGCCCGGCCCTCTGAAAGAGTCGTAGATGAATCCAATCTCATCTCGGGGTAGGAGCTTGATGATCATTTGAATGACGTGGTTTCCCTCCTGAGATTTGTTGAGTTTATCGACGTGGTCTTTCAGCTCGTTGACAAGCTCCACTTGGTAGCGGCGAAAGATGTTGTCGAGGGCCTATGTGAATTAGCTCTAGCTTCCTAACATCAAGAGGATGAACCCACCTTCTGGACAACCCGGCAGCCGTACTTGTTCTCCGAAAGTCGCAACATGTTTTTCTTGATTATGCTCGCCATGCTGGTTTTTTGCTCCTGCGTGCCGTGTTCGAAAAACTTTTGCACAACGTAATTGCCGTATACGTCGGTCATGAGAGGCATCAGCTCCTCCATGAGCTCTCTCCAAACTTCCGCCTTTTCTTCGCTACTAGCAGACTGCAGTTTGTCCTGAATGAACCTGGAACCGGCGCGATCGGCAGCGAAGTCCGCAATCGAACCATAGATTTGCTTATTCAGGGTTAGTGTTTCGCTCCAGGCAGCACAAGTTCCATGGAAGAGAGCCTTACCTTCAGATCCCATTTCTGCGGGGCATTGCGGGTGTTCAAGTATTCACGCAGTTTCCCGCTCTGCATGCTTCCAGAACTCATCGCACCCATTGCCAAGCCAGATGTTGGCAAAGAAGGATTCGGATATGCCCCGGCCATTCCCAGGTTATGGGCCAGGTTGTACATTTGCAATTGCTGTTGGAGGGTCACGGTGTCGAAAGGCAGATTCGTAGTAGGCTGAGGCTGCTGAATGAAGGACTGTGTGCTGGCTCGACGATCGATGTTCGTGGGGCTTGAGAACTCGCGCCTAGAAGGTGTCTGTGAAAAATTCGAGCGGGACTGTTGAGCACCTGTGTGATTCCCAAAGCCGTTCGCGTTATAGCCGGTTTGGAACCCGTTGCCAGCTTGGAATCCGTTGCCAGATTGAAATCCGTTGCCAGTTTGAAATCCGTTACCAGTCTGGAATCCATTGCCAGATCCATTTTCCCAAGCCGTCGGACTTGCGGGCGTGAATGGCCGGGCAGAGGCGGTCACAGTATGTGACGAGTTGCTCCAGAGGTTCGAAGAAAACATTGGGCGATCGGTATCCGTTACCTCTGCCTGTTTTCTCGCTAGCCATGGAACATTCGTCTGCGCTGCATCCAAATCTCCAACGCTGGCTCGGTTGTTCTGCCAGTTCACGGAAAGATTTGAAGAGTCGGCGACAACCGATGATCGATGCGAGTGTTGTGCCGTGTACGGTGTCAAACCAAGTCCTTGCCGCTCCGCCGGTTCGGAAGGACCCGATGATGCGATGTTGAAGCCGCCTACGCTCAAGCGCTCACTCGCATGCTCCATACCACCAAACCCGTTATCGTGCGAGGGGCGTCTCATAGAGGAGTTAATTCCATCGAGCCGATAGGCAAGACCGGAGGGTACCGAGGTCCTGGGAGACGAGCCGTTCGTTCCATTGCGAGTGTGTGCCGTTTGGTTAGAGTAAGAGTAAGACCAATCGTTAGAGCCACTGGAAGTGCTTGGGGGCCGGTCGCCGACCTCAGCCGAAGCATTGGGCATGGACCATATTTTGAAATCAACGTCGAAACTGTGCCTTTGCGGTTGATTATGCAGGTTGTTCTCGGGGCGGTAAGGCGGGAAGCCACGTGGAGCTCGGCCACGACCCATGTTGGGCTGGATTGCCGATGGTTAGCTGAGCCCTTTGGATGTTGAAATCAGGTGGGCAACGTGGTGAATAGGGCCACTGCCATATGGACAGATGATGGAAATTATGGGAAGCATTGGGTAACTTGCGAAATGTGAGACGAGTGAGCTTACCGAAGTGTTAGGAGACATGATGCGATCTGGAGTCTTGTCGTCTCAACAAGAACGTGTTCGAATCACACTGCGGGGAGGTAGAGGACGAAGATGATACTTGGCGAGACGTGATGACTCGGCTGAGGCTACTGAAGGATGAGGATCTGTTGGGTTGAGTTGAGGGCTTTGGTGATTCCAGTCTTACTGGTACTGGCGGAAGCAGCTGATAGGGCGGTGGGTTCGGTCGTGGGCGTATGTAACTGGGCACCCACGAGATGATTAGGGTATCGAAGGGGTCGATTATTGCTCTGTTGGCGAATTATGGCTTGGTAGGTGAAACCTCGAGTGGGCTATCAAGTACAACGTCTGACTCTGGTACGAAGTATGTGGCATATGTGCTGTATCAGACGGATGAGCGTAAGTTGATGGTCATATGGTAGCTGAATAGGCTCATGATGCTTGATAGTTGATGGTGACATGGAAGGGGAATTGTTTTGATATAGGGAAGATGAGACGAGCCCAGAGATTATTTGGCAGGGCAGGAAGGGCTCTTATCCTTGAGCGATCGGAATAGTAGCGGAAATTCGGATTGTGCAAGCATAGGTACTTAAGCATGATGAAGACAGAGTGCATATCAAATGCAAAGGCTTGGGCTGCGGTTTACGGATCGGAGCCTTGATCCGACTTGCAGGACGATAGGAAAGTCTGGAAGTAGATAATACAACCGAGGAAGTACCTTTAGGGCAAGGGCATGCGGCTACCGTGTTTGGACATTGTGATCGAACCTTAGGGGCGCGGCCGCCAGTGGCAGGTCACAGAAGGAGGATGGCGTGGGAGTAACGGAATAAGTTGTGAATGGTAACAGAAAAGAAGATGCGTGTCATGATCTGTGAAAATCTGGCACGGATACACGAAAAGGCGGGGCGATGAGAAGGAGACACAAGAAAATAAGAATGGCGCAGGATGGGGCGAACCCAAGAGCAACTACTGCCCTTGAACCCCTCACTTGACGTCGCGCAGTCTTGACACTGGCATCCGGACTCGGGGGGGTCGAGACTGGGTCCCGGCACTGGACGGGACTACCGGGGGGAAGCGGAGCAACCTACGCCGATGGGAGGTGGCCGGTAGTCGTCGGGAGTGGGGATGGGCAGCGGCGGCGGGGAGTGACGACGTTTCCTCCTCCTTGACAGGAGAAACTGTGGGGAGCGGGGGAACTTTTGCACTTACCATAGGCCGAGGGACCATCCAAAAGTTGTGGTGTATATGACACCTCTCTCAGTCGTGGTCGGAGGGGGTAATTCTGGACAAGAAGGAGAGAAACCGGTGTCTGAACGAAGGCGTCGGGCGCTGCTGTTGAGCAGAACACCCGAATGTTTATAAAACAGATCCCCCCTTCCAAATGAGACTGTTTGGCAACGGAGTGGATGCAATCTCAGACGTACAAATCTGAAAAACCGGGGTAGGCAGCAAGGGTACGTGGTTGCGGTTGCCGGTCCAGGCCAGGGTGGTAGGTAGGTAGGTACCTTGATGACAGGAAGGCCAAAATTGTATGTCCAGAGCGACGGGCCTAGGTGAGCCCGACCGCTGTTGGCGAGAATGTAGCGACCTGAAGGGAAGATGGAACCGTATGTGTGGACGAGTGGGTGTCGACCAGAAAGGAGAATGAAGGATTAATCAGGGCATGGATCGATGTGCTTTATAGGCAAGGGAAGTAGAAGAATAGGTACGAGGAAGAGGGAACAGCCCCAGGGCGGCGGGCACAGGAAGAACAGGATGGACGGAACTAAGGCGGCGTATGCAGCGTGGCCGACCGGCTTGCGGAATGGAATAAAGCCAGCTTGGTGTGGTTGTGCGTGCCCTTGGTGCAGCAACAGCAGCAGCAGCAGCAGCAGGGCCCTGGAGGTATGTTTCGGGGTTTTTATGTATATGTTCCTTGAGGTTCTCTTCACCTGGCCTGGCTGTACGTACGTTAGTTAGGTGTGAAGTGTGCTGGGCCTGGTGGACGGTAGGTGTTGGTGAGGCGGGCGTCGTCCGGACCTGGCGCGGAGGGATGAACCAGGGTGGAGGTGTGGTGGTCTGCACGCAGGCAATGTGGGGGGATCGCCCAAGATATAGGGAGAGCCCCGTTACGGCTGCACTTTTGTTTCGTCACGGTCCAATTGTGTTTGATGGTCCCAGGGAAAAGCAGTGCTCGTGCCTGGTCAAGTGCCGGGAATGATACACGCCAGGGATACACGGGGTTTTGCCCTGAAAATCAACCTATTTTTGTTACGTTTTTATATGTAGCTATGCTATGTACCAACCTAACGGCGGACATCCAACAGAAAGTCGGTTGAATGCCAGGCTTGGTCCAACTTTTCCCTTGTGTCGTGCTTTGCTGGTGGCGGAGCCTGCGCGCTCGGCATAAAGCAGGCCATGAACAGTGGCAAGTCGAGAATTTCTTGTACAAACCCATCCAGACGTAGCTGATGATAGCACCTTGGCACCAAGTCGAGTTCCTGCCCAGGTAGTGCCCGCATGGATGTCGAGAAATACCTACGGGCAGGATGGAAGTCTTGTAGGTGCAGTCGGCTTGGTGGTTTGGTGGTGTTTTCGGTTAGTGCCGACAGTGGACTTTTAGCTCCCTTGTTACAGCTAGGTTACAGGGTTCGATGGGGCTTCGAGCGGATGTCCGTGCCTGGCAATCTTCCTTGATCCATGCAGCGAGCTCGAGTCTGTCGACAGAATCCAACAACAGCGTCAGGCGGCGGTCCACCGGATCTTGGGACGCAAAACTTGATGAAGCCGGCACCGATGGGCTATCTTGTGTGATCATGACGCCTCTGTTGTTTGTGCGGCCACCATTAAGAATTTGCGCCCGCTATAGAAAAAAGCTCTTCGATGGCTAACGAACCCGAAATCTACATAGTATGTGTCGTGGGGCGCATCTGGTCTACAGTCCAGTACTGGTTTGTTTGTTAGCTCGAGACCTCGTGTCAACTTTCCTATGCGTTTCCATGGCTAACTAATGCATAATCTTACTATGGATACGCCATCTCTCACATTCAAGATACTAAATCAAATCCAGCTAATGCCTACAAAATAATCAGTATAAGCTTTGGGACTATTCGAAATAGGTTTCGTCTAGTACACTATATATATTACACTACTACCTAGGAGTATCTAGTGTACCAAGCTAACAAACAAACCAGTATCGGTCTGTATATCTACACTAGAGGTAGTATCGAGTGTCCCGTACAGGCACGAGAGAGACGACATGACCTCGACAGCGCGAGGCTGGGAAAATGACCACAGAAACTGGTGTACTTTCTGATACTAAAGACCTTGTCCCAGGTGAGCCTGTTCTAGATGGCCACTCTTGTGTTGAGGGAATCGCTCGTGCTTGCTTTCCGGGTCTACAGAACATCTATCCCGATAGGGTGGGACGGTTGGACAGCCTTAGGCGTTAGAGGTGAGTTGTTGGTCGCTGGCACAGTTATTTTGGTATTGACAAAAGTACTTTAAAAGTCAGCACATCTTTCGTGTTATAGAAAGGTTGCATGAGTACACTTGCGCAATTGACTGAGATCAGCCAGGTTCCTCCCTCTACCGACTTTCGAAACGCGTGTGCCGCTGCTGAAGCGACAAGCTGGATGTCGCGAGCGGATCGTTTTCTCTTCGCTAATGAAATCAAAGGGGGGGAGGGGGGTCCCGTCTTGCAGGACTGTAGACCAGCAGGTAACCGAAGCCGTCCGGCTTGGTGACACCGCGACAATGCTGCGTTACAACATTCTACGTGATGGTACGCCTCAGCCGTTTTCCTGCCTACCCAAGGAGTGCCGCTCTATTGACGAGTTGAGGGAATTTTTATGACGGGCTGCTTTGATTTGCGAAGAATGAAGAGAGGTTTGCTTACGTTGCCATTGGTGTTGATGCTGGTGCTTTGTTGGGAAATACTGAGGAGTTACAATGCTGTCACCGACGTTGGTTCAAATAGTGACTATCGCCTTTCGTGTTTTTTTTTTTTTTTTTTTTTTTTTTTTTTTTTTTTTTTTTTTCCCTTCGAACTCGCGGCAGTCTGCGTGATGTTTGCAGATGCGTCGCTAGTGTTCTTTTAGCGCTCAGCTCTAAAGTATCCGTCATGTTTGCTATATCTCGCCAGGGTCAAGGTACAAGTGTTGTCGATGTCGTCCAGTGTATGATAATGTCAGCTCTTGAATAAAGCGATAGTTTTACTGACCAGCTGCGGGTTGGTTTACAACGGCAAAGACATGGATGAAAAACCAACGACAATAATGTACAAGTATACGAAATATTGTGCCTCTCCAGGTATGATATAATATTGGCAGTGATTACTGCTGCTGATGCACTGACGATTGTCAAATTCTCAGTCACTATCTATCTCTAAGTCGGCCGAGCAATGATCGCAGATGCCTGTAGGCGATTGATGGAACATCTCCCCATACCCAAAACGGACGATTGAAAGCAATGGCAATCAGGAGCCTAGGCTTACATAAAAGCCAAGTTGATATCGGCCGGCCAGGCGCGGCTGACTAGGGTAGTCTAGATCCAGGCGTCGACAGTGTCTTGTAACTACTTGTAGGTATGTTACCTACATATTGAGCAGGATCTGGCATGAAGATAACGAAATGTCTCTTGACATGCAGTTACAGCATATTCCGTGATGACTGTTGTGCCATGCGGGACTGGCTGCCGGTCCTCAGAGGCGGTCACCCTTAACCATTCGATGGTATGAAAGGGAAACGCCGTTGAAAGACACCAAGAGATTGCCCTATGCTCCCAAAGATCACATATACGCAGTAGTAGGCGACGAGGTACATAAAACATTGCGTCCCAAAGGGTAAAGCAAGGGATGAGGGGTTGCTCTCAAGGTTTCGTCGTTGGAGGGAATGCCCTTTGTCTGTTCTTACCACCAACTCCGCTAAGATCAAGGGGCGGTAAAAGATCAAGAGTTATGTGAAAGGTGCATGTCTCGCCCCTATCCCCAACATGCAGACTGGGGTTCTCGTTACCAGTTTGCTGTTTCAAAAAAAAAGGGCGTCGTTTGTGACACCCGCTGGTTTCGATTCGGACAGGAAAAACAAAACGGCCTCGGGCACCAACCGGGCTGTGAGGAGAAATGGTACAATCTCAGTACGTACGGGAGCCCTGGAATCTGCATGCAATGTGCGTATCGCTGTCAGGCCATTGTTGTAAATAGACCGGTCCATGATTGCCGTCTGGTCCGCTCGTGGTTCCTTATGTTTTCGCATCATTGTTATTCCGTCATAGAACACAGTTAGTCAGAGCAGAAGCTTGGGGAAAATGGCAGGATGCGCTATGATGGTCCTTGGGTATGTTGAGGTTGGCAATGTCTCAGGTTGCGCAACTCGGCAAAGCCCGCAAGAATGGCGTATGTACATCATTGAGAGTGATCGCTCATCGGGAGTGCAAGATATGGTTTGTCGATCGATATGCGTGTGGATGCTGTGGTTGGCACTGGGCTGAACCAGGGCAAGTGCCTTGAATCGTTGTCAGTATAACCCCAACTCTCTCTTGCCAGGGATTGAAACTGAAAGATTCGTAGACCCTCCTCCGCATCAGTGGCCGATGCCAACAAGCAGTTGTTCGAATCGACAAAGCTAACCGCACCCGCCCTTTGCGACACCTTTTTCCGCCACCCCTGGCGTCAGCACTCGGTTGCGAACAACTCTCCTCCGGCTCCAAACTGAGCTCCAACTCGCTACTAACGATCACTGGTGTGAAGGTACGCACAGCGAGTCGCATAGTAGGAGATTCAAGGGAGTACGTGAAGCAGAAACACCCCTTCCTATCGTCATCGCATCGACGGTTTTTGGAGGCCGAATCGATATGGTTCGCCACGTTTCAAAGGGAACCTGGGCGTTGGTGCCAGACCAACCAACGTATCGCTTGCGCAAACCAACCCAAATTGCACCTTCTGGAATCGATATCCCACCTAGACGAGCCATGTCACGTATCCAACTCGGACCGGAAAGAAGGGTACGGCGTACTTTGATATGACTGGAAACATGGCATCAGTACACCCAACTGCTCATGTGACTAGAAGCGTTTGCCTTGTTGCCCCGGTACATGAACTTTTCCCGTCTCACAAAAGGAAAGTGGCAATATCCAAGTGGTCTGGGAGGATATTGTTGTCTTGAACGTTCCAGTCACTGACCTTTGAGACGGTCGCCTGCAGTCAAAAGGCCGTCTGCCTGACAATCTGCTCCAACAACTGCAGTAGGACAGCATGTCGTTAGGGTGCCAAGCGGCTCCGGGGCCGGCAGCGGGGATCTGACAGGGCAAAGACAGCCGATGGTGTTTCCATTCCATTTGATTTGCCGGACCTTGCCAGTGTTTTGGTTGTTGCGGTCCCAAGTCCTCCTAACCATACTGCGCTCGAGAGCGCCGGCCAGCCAACCTAACTCTGTGTGGAGACGAGAATACGGCAAAAAGTGATCGCAGGAACACTTGTTCATGGTGAGAAAAGCAAACCGCCAAGGCTCGGGCGCCAGTGCTGCCTTCAGACAGAGCAGGACCACTTCAACAATCTTCAGGTTTGACAAAGTGAGACAGATATCGGGGCTTTGAAGAAGCGTTTGTCATACCAAGCAGTATGGCAATCACTAACTGACAACAGGACCTCAGTGACCCCAAGTCAACCAAAGGCGAATCGCCAAAGATGCCGTCGGCTTGTCCATATTGAGTGTCGTGTGGCTCGCCAGATAAAGTACGTCGAGATGCGGGGGATTGGCAAAGAAAGACTGATGATTGGATGTCGCAGTACCGCGAAGCTGCAGCCTTCGTTAGGTACGATTTCGTGATTGGAAGGGCGCCTGTTCGTCGGCATCAACCGAGCGTTGAGTGGGCTCTGGAGATTGGGAATCGTGGCAAGCACGATTGAAGCGGTGCTGTGATGCAAGTGCGTCAAAAAGGACTGGAGTTGGTGGCGTGTTGAAGAGAACTTGAATCGATCCTATCGTTTTCGACTGTAGTGCAGGAAGGAAGCGATACGCCGAGCAGAAACTAGAGTGAGAAACTAAAGACTGAAAGGTAGGATCGGAAAACTCGTCGAGGTGACGAGAAAGGGCAAACAAGCACCTGACAGATTTCTTGACGAATCAATGTTTTGCTTAAGTACCTCTAGTATCTTTGCAGCAGAGGAAGGCGTTTGCAACTGCCCTAGCAGACCCAACAAAACGGAACTGAAATGGAGGTCAGCAACTTAACGAAAACGCGTGTCGATAAGACAGGACATGTCTCGGTTCTATTGCGTCTTGCTCTCTCCCTCGGTTGAACTCCATCTTCGGACTTGATGAAGCCAATGCACTGGAATTGTGACGAGACATTGACAGCCCTCTTCACAGCCAGGCGAGCGCCCTCATCTCAGCACAATGCGGCACACATTGATTGATTGCAATGGGGATGCATTGTGCATTGTCATGCAATCTTGGGGAGAGCCGAATCGAGCACAGGCCATGGTTCCTTGATGGTTCGGTTCCCTTTCCATTTTCCAAAAATTCCAAAAGTGGCCCCTCCACACCCTGGTGCCCTGATTCCAAAAACAGAAGGCTAGGTGGGTCCTTAGCGGCAATCACAAATTGGACCCGCCCTTATCGACCATTGGACACGGTCATTGGACAGCTGCTGGGATTGGGCGGGGCCGTCATCCCAATCTCGAAAGCGAATGGAGCGCGAACGGCGTGCTCTGGTTGGCGCCCTGGACGAGCTTTTGAGCGGCCCCTGCTTTGATATGCAGGTCAAAAAAGAGCCCGTTCCACTTTGGGGATAGCTCCTTTTCTTTCCCCAGCTCCCCCTGACGGATGGAGCCCTGCGAGCCCACACGCGAGCTCCGTTGCGACCACTCAAGCACACTCGAGCCAAACGGCCAGGGCAGGATGGCACCCAGTGACCCAGGAGAGCCAGGAGTTGGGGCGTGGGAGTGTGCCGGGATGGAGTCTGGCAGGGGGGTTGTGCTTCGTTAAGGCCTTCTGGACCGCTCGCCCGTCTTGTCGCTCACAGGTCGCTCTCTTGAACCGGCCGGGTCCTTCTTCTCCTCTTTCGCTTTCCCCCCAACCCAACTCCTCCATCTCAACTTCTTCAACAACCAAACACCATACCATTGTCGGCGTCAACGGTCTAGGGGACTGCTGCTCTTTGTCATTCTTTTTCCAACAAAACCCATTCTTTCCTTCACAACCCCTTGGTTTCGACTTCACTCTCTTAGTCGACTCCGTCCAGTCTTTTTTCCCTTTTCACGCAGATCCCCACCGACCACGACGCTGTTTGGACAAACCGGTATATCTTGGGTAGATTCTTGGTACGGCCATCCCTTGCGTGCGTCTCCGGACAGAAGCCCCTGAGCCCCTGAACCCTCGAGTCCCAAACGTCACCATAGAGTTTCTTCACATAGCAGTCCAGGAATGGCAGGAGACTATGGAGAACACCAAGATTCGCGGCGCGCCCACAACCACGAGACGAAGGGACCAGTTGCTGACAGTTTTGGCTTACTACAGATCCAGAATCCCGACATATCCATCGTTTATAGGTAGCTTTTGGAGAAGCATTATCGAGTGCCGCGACCAATCTCACACCGACGACATTCGTTCTACCAGGCGTACATATACTCGTACAGCACACTCATACACCACATACCACCACATATAAGCTACACTCTTTACATACACAAACGTCCAAATGGAGTCACTTAGAAGCTTTGCTCGCCGCACCGTCGATGATGAGTCGTCCAAGGACCACATTGTCAACCTAATGATCGCCCTCCTTGCGCTCGTCTTTTGCGCCCTTCTGTCAGTCACCATTCTCCTGCTCCTCAAGAGAATCAAGCAAAAGACGCCCGGGCACAGCGAGGGTCTTCCTCAGTACCGCGACGACCAAAAGCATTCCAGTAATCACCGACGTCTAACGATCTCGACCGGGCCCGGCGCCCCCCGGTCCAGCGTCATTGTCTTCAAGGATGGACAGCCCATGCTGGCCAACCCTGCTTCCCCTCCTCACTCGCCCGACAACGTTCCCGAAATCCACATTACGTTCCCGGATGAGCAGGATGACCAAGGCCGCCGCCGCAGCGGTCGTGTCCTGGTTGTCAGACTTGGAGAGTCGACCATTGGCCTCGAACCCCGCCAGGATGAGCAGCTCCCCGCGTACGAGAAGGAAAGCAACTCGCAGTTTGTCTCGGTCGATATCGAGAAGATCGGCGGCCTCAAGGAGAAGGAGTACCGTTAAAGTGTAGATATAAACGGCACAAGTTGATGAAAAAGAAACAAGACCGACCTGGCAAATTGAAGAGCTTGCTGTGCTCCTTTCTTTCTTTTCGGCACATGAGGCTTCTGTTGGGGTTCGCTGTTGCATTGATGACTTTTTCAAGTTTCGGAGTTTCAAGGCGTGTACAGGAAACATAGGACACTACCGCACGGCGAGAGCTGTTTACTTCTTTCTACATTTCAAAAAGGGAACAAGGTCTGATTCCGCGCGCTGGACGAGGCTTGCCCGCCAGAGGGGCGTTCGAAAGAGATGGGACAACACATCAGGGGAGAGGCAGGCCTGAAGCATCACAGCACATGTTGGTTCTCCTGGGCGCCCCTGTACATTGTGCACATATTAGCCACGCCGCAACTTGGGCCCCGCACTCTTGACTTGGGAGGTTCTCTGTTGATGGATCTTGTGGGAAAGAAAGCGGGTAGTCTCAATTGCGACGTATTTTGTCATTGGGAAAGCGAGAAGTTGGAAAGAGTGGTTGACATGGCTACCTCTTTTTGCCTTGTGCATGCATCATCGCTATTCTAGTATTGTGTAATTTCTATTCGAAGCTCTGTCACTTGGCCGAGTTTGTTAACGTCTCCTTTGTTTAACCGCCATAGAGATGATATTAAGATCAGGACCACTAGAGAAAAAAAGGCTCACAAAACACAGCCATGAAGGGTTCTCATTTTCTTGTATATAGTTTTTCATCAGTCTCGGACGGCCTTTCATAAATATACCCTACTCTGCCTCCGCAAAAGACAGACTTTGATGAAGCTGAAACATCTGATGACAGCTTCATCCATGTTTTTTTTTTTTTTTTTTTTTTTTTTTTCTTTCTTTGGCTCGACCCAACAGATCCTGCACGGCCAGGGACCGATCACCAGAAGACTGGAGATGCTTTAGGATGGAAAGCATTAAAGGGTTAGGGTTGAAGCTGTGATGCTACGTAACACATGTCCGCCTTCGGGAACGACCTCACGACTCGCAAAGGCGTCGGCCGGTGAAGTGTGGGGAAACTGTCGCAGCACAAGTCAAGACCGTGACGGGATTGACATTTGGATCCCAGAATGCTTCAAGCTTCTGCAGGAGACCTGAATACCTAATTTATGCAATTGAGGGAACTTGCCAACTTTGTTCCACAACAGCAATGGACGCGTTCGTCCTTTTTATGTCGTGAATACACACGCTTATTTCCACCATACATATCTCTCGTGATTGGAGCTTCCTGCATCTCATCATCGACGGCTCCACGTTCGTCTCTTTGATCCATTGGCATTTCCCCAAACAACCCCACAATCCCCAACGCAGTCGGCAGTGAGATAACCGACACCGACACTCTTTTGCGGCCTTACCATCACCGGCCGGGACGTGGGACTTAATCCCTCGCTCGTGCCGATATTATCCTCACCTTTTTTTCTTTTCTTTGGACCGGACAAGAATCCCGCTGACTACAACTCTGTGGTGGTCCCTCAAGCGTTCCTCCTTCCCCGGGCTTCCGAGTCGATCCCTCTCCGTTCGCCGCCACGATGCCGCCGCCGACAAAACCGACATCGAAGAACCCCCCGCCGCAGTCGCAGACGGAATACCAGGCAATTGCTGCCAAGTTCGCCGCCGCAAAGCGTGCCAAGGCAGCGCAAGATGCGGCAAAGGCACGAACGGCTGGAGTAGCGAAAGCGGCAGGAGGTGAAGCCATCGAGAAGGACCGCGTCAGTCTGGCCGACAAGCAACGCGCAGCCCTCGAGGCCCGGCGCAAGTCCAACTTTGAGGCTCGCTGGCTATGGACCGTCGGCTTCTGGGTCTGGCTGCTGTTGATCCACGTCGCCGGCATTGCCTACTTTACCAGCGGCTTCCTCCTGACCCGTCTGATGCTGGATGAGAAGTCAGTGTGCGACGCGCCGCCGACTCTGAATACTAGCACCAACGGTGTCGTGGACATTCTGCCCAACTGGAAGGGCAAGGGAACAGTGGATGGAGGCTGCTGGCACCCCAAGACCTTTGAGCGAGCCGTGGTTGTCGTGATCGATGCGCTGCGCTACGACTTTACCGTGCCCATCAAGGACGACGCTCCCTTTCACAATGCGTTCTCCTTCATGTACGATACCGCCCTGGCCTCGCCCAACAATGCCGTGCTCAGGCCGTTCATCGCCGACCCCCCGACTACAACACTGCAAAGGCTCAAGGGCCTGACTACCGGCACTTTGCCCACCTTTGTGGATGTGGGCAGCAGCTTTGCTGGTACCGCCATCGAGGAGGACAACCTGCTTATGCAGCTCCGGGACGCCGGCAAGCGCATCGTACACCTTGGAGACGATACGTGGGAGTCGCTTTTCCCGGGCTACTTCCAGGCCAACCTGAGCCGGGCCTACGACAGCTTCAATGTATGGGACTTGCATACGGTTGACAACGGCGTTATCGAGCACATCTTCCCCTTGATGAAGCGCAAGGGCGATTGGGACGTCGTTGTTGCGCATCTTCTCGGTGTTGATCACGCCGGCCACCGCTATGGACCCGACCACCCCGAGATGGCCAAGAAGCTGCAGCAGATGAACACGTTCATCAAGGATCTGGCGTCCAACATTGACGATGACACTTTGTTGATTGTCATGGGTGACCATGGTATGGACAGCAAGGGAGACCACGGCGGCGAGAGCGAGGATGAAGTCGAGGCTGCTCTGTGGATGTATTCCCCCAAGCCTGTGTTTGGCAGAACCAAGCCCGAGTATGTCACTCCCCCGGCTACCGCCAAGACTCGTCCGACCAACCAGATCGACCTCGTCCCAACTCTGGCGCTGCTCATGGGTATTCCCATCCCTTACAATAACTTGGGTCACCCGATCGAGGAGGCCTTTGTTGGTCCTCGTGGCACTGCCTGGGACAGGCTGGCTGCCGCGGAGCGCATGGCTGCCGCTGGCATCAAGCGCTACCAGACGTCGTACTTCTCTGCCCGCGGAATCGAGCAGGCTACGACCCCTGGGTCGCCCGCTGATTTGTGGGATAAGGCTGAGGCTCTGGTTCCCAAGAGCAAGGTCAAGAAGGGTCATAGCTGGGAGCCTGTGTTCTTGGCCTATGCTGAGTATCAGAGGGAAACCCTGGATTATTCCAAGAGCCTCTGGGCCAGGTTCGATGTCAAGAACATGGTCATTGGCATTAGCATCATGGCCTCCAGCGTCATTGCTCTTCTTGTCTACATTAACAAGCGTACAGAAGATGACGACGTCTTGGTGATTGAAGACTCCGAGCTTGATCATGCCGAGAAGAGCCTAGAGCTACAGGGTATCACCGCTGACGAAGGCCAAACCCTTGAGAAGCGTCTGTTCCGTGCCGCCATGTTGGGAGCCCTTCCTGGCATCTTCGGCGGACTTCTGCAATCCTATCTGTCTGGTAATGGTGATTGGTATCGCGGTTCGGCCATCGGCGCGCTCACCAGCGCCGCAACCGTCTTGGTCGCTCTGTACGATGCAGAGGGACCCAGCTTCAACGTCCTCCCCACGACTCTCTGGGGCTGGATGGCCGTGGTCTTTACCATCAGCCAGTCTATCGGCTTCGCCTCCAACTCATACACCATCTGGGAGGACTCGATCCAGCTCTTCATGATGACCACTTTTGGTCTCGTTACGGCCTTCTCGGCGTTCCGCATGGAGTCGCTTCCGGACCGCTTCATGACCATCTATCACTCCGTCCTCTTCGTTCTGCTGGGCCGGCTCGCCTCCTTCTCCAAGCTCTGCCGCGAGGAGCAGATGCCGTACTGCACGTCGACCTATTACGCTAGCGCCACCTCCTCGACCTCGGCCCCCTGGCAATTGGCCATCCCCTTCATCGCCGCCATCATCCTCCCTTCCATCATCAAAGCCTACCTCGCGCCGTCCAAATCATACGAGGGTCTTGCCCCGACCTGGATCGGTTACGTCTTCCGCGCCGGCCTTTTCTTCTCGGCCATCTACTGGGTCCTCGACGCCGCCGACAACGGCAACTGGCTCTCCTCGCTCTCCTCCCTTTCCTCCTACCTCCCCTCCTCGGCCTCCGACACCCTCTCTACCCTACCCCCTCTCCCAGACAAGGCCCTCAAGACCCTCTCCGTCTACACCGCGCAAATGATCCTCGGTCTCGCCCTCGTCGCCGGCTCCACTGCTTTCGTCTGGGCTCCTCCCTGCATCTCCATCGTCACCACCGCTCTCCGCTCTCCCAAAACCGCCGCCGACCCTCTCGCTGCCATCCCTGGCGCGCAAACCGCCCAGGTCACCGTCCTAGGCTACGGCAACGCCCACGGCGCTCGCTACCTCCTCCTGCCCTTGAACTTCTTTGTCGCCCTCTTCCTCCTCACCAAACCCATGGGCGCCGGCGCTTTGGCCTTGACCCTTTGGCAATCTCTCTCCCTCCTCGAGATCCTCGACTTGCTTAACCTCCCAATCGGCTCCAACCCCATCGGCCCCGTCATGCTCGCCCTGCTCGGCCAAAATGCCTTTTTCAAGACCGGCCACCAGGCCGTCCTGTCTTCCATTCAGTGGGACAGTGCCTTCATCCCGCTTTACAGCATCAAATATCCCTGGTCGCCCCTCTTGGTCATTCTCAACACCTTTGCGGGCCAAATCCTCGCTACCATCTTGGTCCCCATGCTCGTCCTCTGGAAGAGCGGTCCCAAGAGAAGAGGCATCTTGGGAAGCGTCAGCAGAGCGCTCGGCGTTTTCGTGGCGTTTTATGCCACCCAGGCGTTGGCGACCATGATGTGGGCGGGGCATTTGCGGAGACACTTGATGCTTTATCGGGTGTTTAGTCCTAGGTTCATGACGGCGGCCGTGACGCTTTTGGTGGTAGATGTGGTTGCTGTGGTGGTGGGGTTGACAGGTGTGAGGGTGAATATGATGAGTGTGGCGGAGGTTTTCGGGTGGGCTGATTGATCTAAAAGAAAGGGGGAAAAAAGAAGAGAATGAAGTGAATGTTCATGTTGATGTTGATATGTTTGCATAATTATACTGTTGGCATATATAGAATGGTTAATCGGGTGTTGGGTGGTTGGGTTGGTTGGGTTTGTGTATAAAAATGTTCTAACTGTAATGGATGGGGTTGGTTACACGAAGTAAATAAAACGCTTGTAGTGTATGGGTTGAATATAAGAACCAAGAGAAGAAAGCCTCAAGCTGTAAATCGTAATCTATACGATCTGTTTATTAACGAGCATCACGGGCGATATGGAAAGGGGGGACATCCCGTAGACAGTTCTATGGGTGAGTTGTCAACCGGGACTGTATTCATTGCCTTGAGTCAGATGACTCAAGAAACAAAAGTCCCAGAAGACATCAACATCAAAACTTGGAGGGTGAATCAAGTTTATTAGTCTTCAGTTCCCTCCCTCCATCAAAGGAGAGGAGAGACTAGGTAACTAACAACAAACTATCTGATCAATCACCCAGTTTTCTCAGAGACCTGCCCGCAAGCCTCTTTTTCTTCAAGTTATTGCCTCCAACAATTTTCGCCCGTAACGATTGTGTGATAACTCTTACCCAATAATATCCAACCTATGAAAAGCCAAGTCCAGCAGCGACTCGCAGTTGTACTCTCTTGATGACATTTCCTGAATGCATCCCAACCCGGAACAAAACTTAGGAAAAGACAGAACAAAGGCCAAGAACCAAAAGTTCAGAATTGAGTATGATCGGACCCATCCTCAACATATGACATGGTGCCAGCTCACCCCCCGGGGCTTTGTTGGAGACTAGATCCGCCCCGGAGGAAACACCGGGACCTGATGTGTCGTTACAGGGCCGTGGTTTTCTAGCCGGAAGTAACGCCATGCTGGCCAACATCCGGGCCAGGTTCCCCCCATTCTTCGGTCGAGGGGCTGTTATGATCCTCCTTTTTCGCTTCTTCAGGTTTGGGGAGTGCAGGGACTTCGCCTTTGAATTTCTCGACTGCTTCCACCAAAGCATCGAGTTCATCCACCATGTTGTCCAGTTTCTCTGCAAAGGCCTCATAGCATGGAATCCCTATTCCGACATCCTGAGGAATGGAAGCATCTGTCATCTCCGCGTTAAACTTTAGTATCTCCTCAACAAATTGGTTGAAAGCTGGCACAGTCCTAGTCAGCAACGCTCACTCCCGAATACTGCACACTGAGAGAGTCTTTCTGGGATGGATGACTTACCTTCCAAGAAAACGTTGTAGAAATCTTCCGCCTTCTCCTGGACCCCTCCTTCTTTCCTGTAGACTTCGTCGTTGAGCTCCATCCGTCTCAGAGTGTCCCGCTCCTTTGGAGATCCATACAAGACATCGTGAAGCACAGCCAAGCTACTGATGTACTCTGACTCAAGCACGCAATACTCATGCCCGTACGTCGGGTGATCCTCGAGAATTGACTCGCGGAACCTGCTGAACACAGCAGCCGTCCGATCAAAGAGGTGGTTCGTCTCAACCAGAAAGTCGCTGGCTTCCCAACAACTTCTATCAATTGGCGACTCAGGCCTGTAGATCTTCTCGATTGAGCCCGCAAGTGATTTGAGTGATTCCTGCCTTTGTTTCTTTCTGGGAACGTCTTTCACCTCCGGCACCGACGACCTGTTTCGCTTGTGGGGGTTTCTCATCTCAGGAGTAACAGATCCCTTGGCATTCCAATCAACCTTGGACCCTTCTGGTATATCTCTCATGAATTCTTCCCACGGAGCTGATGGGGCGATGGGCTTGCCATCGGCATCACATTTGTTGACGGGAACGCCATTCTCAAACCGAACGAGAGAACTTTTACTGCGTTGATGGCGTTCATAGGGCTCCCGACCGCCGGTGCTTGGTCTCTCTTGTCCTGACATTGTCGTACGCTTGAATCGGTGACACGGAAAGTGGTCTGGCTAACAAGAAGTGGAAGGGGGAGTAAAAGTAGCAAAGATAGCAGATAGTTTATCAAAGGGTTGTCTTGATGTTGATGGTAAGTCGATGTGTTGATGTTGATGTTGATGCTGATGCTGATGCTGATGCTGATGAAGGTGCTTGATGATCGAGTGAAGATGGCGATGGTGATGCTGAGATGTTCTTCCTCAACCAGGCCGAGTCACGACCATTTATACTCAGTCATCTCAACTCTTCATCCTCCTCGCTGAAGCTATCTCCAGACCAACGATCTCCCAGAGCGCTGCCATCGTGCAGTCGAATACAAAGAACTCGAAGGCTCAATGAACTTCCTAGGACCAACCGACACCGACGAGGACTCAGTGCGCGCGCAAAGACTGCCTAGATAACGTGAATATCCGCCCATTCCGAAAGAAAGAAAGAACATCCCCAAGGGCATCGGCGAAGGCGTAACGTAACCAACATCACCCTCATGCCAAAGAGACGAGACGAAGACGACAATATGATGCGCAGGCTGTAAAGACCTCATTAAACGACATGAGATGCACCAACAACCGCCGCGACACAAGCTGAGTGACAAAGATTCTCCATGGCATAGCAAGGTTGGTTCCTGAGGACCTTTGGGCTGTTAAGGAATCAGTTAGGTTTTCAAAGAACCGAAACGGAACCGACCCAACGCAACGAGTACACTGCGCCGAAAGCAGTTATACAGCAGTCGATGCGCCTCGATCAACATGTCCCAGGGGCAACTCGCCAAATGCCACGGCAGGCAGGAACGGAGACGTCGCATGATGTGAAATAAAATAAGGCAGCAGAAAGAACGACCGGAGTAGACTACGACATTCAAAAGCCAACGGCGCAATTAGGTGGCAAAGCATCTGAAATATGCCCTGAGTGAATCGAAAAGAAGTGCTGCTGCTGCTGGAACTGACAGCATCACCATCAACGGCGGGCGGGGGGATCTTCGCATCGACGGGTCCAAACCTTGGTGACCGTTGGTTATCATCCACGAGCATTACAGTGGAGAAAAGAGACCCACGAGACTAAGCATTTGGTCCAGGTTGGTGATGTTCGGTTGCCCAGCATCGAAGGTTACCTCGACCTTGGTGTTGGTGTTGGTAGGTAGTCTGAAGGGAGACCGGCCCACTCGATACTACCTGATGTTCGCCGCTTGAGGCAAGTAAGTGGAGACTGGTTGGACAAAAGTTGGGACTTGAGGTTTGATAGTAGTCATCCGAGTGGTTAGTTAGCTCCTGCGTAGCTTTTCTTCTTGAGAGGCACCGGAAATTTTGGGGGGTTTGTTTATATCAACGGTTTTAATTGCGAGGATGTTGCTGGATGATGCCTTCTTACTGGTGGTGTTGAAAAGACGTTGACCAGTACGTTACAATACGGTGATATCAAGAGATACACCGCCCTTGTGCATGACCGTTTTGTAACAAAGCGTAATCGCCCACACCAGCGAAAGACCAGAATAGAACGTCGACACTCCGCGAAAGCAAACACTTCCGTCCATTTCCAAACCTTCAGTCATCTCTCACTTTACGCTTCATCACTCCTTACAACCCTTAGAGGTGAGAAGGTGAAAACATTCTCGTCACTGCCCAAACCACTAAGAACTAGAGTGATACCCTCCCCCAACCCATACCGCATCCACTACAGAGAGTACCTGATGTTTGAATTTGGATACATAGTTTCATTAACTATGCCCCTTGTTCACCGAAGCCCGATTAGCTCAGCTGGTTAGAGCGTCGTACTAATATCTTCTCCAGGATATCAAGTTCATGCGAAGGTCAACAGTTCAATCCTGTTATTGGGCATTCTTTTTGTCCTTTTTGCCTCTCATCAACCCTTTATTGCCGAATGACTGCTGTTTTGTTTTGGTCCTTTTTATGTTCACTGTGCTGTTATTTTCGCATCTTTGAATGAGGAATGGGAAAGAAAAGGTTTGGTGGTGAGCGACTTGGTTTCGGATACACTGTTTTTTTTTGTCAAGTGTGCAAGGTACACACCAGCCGAGACTCTACGACAGCAACATCAATCGAAGTTGGATTGGTCACTGGTTTTGACTTATCCGTATGTGGAATGCTCCAACTGCCATTTAGAGCGCGAGAGTATCACAACCAGGGAACATCACGAAAAGAAGGTCTTCAATCGATAGGGTCATTGGAATAATCGGAGTACCCGACATTGCGTGGACTGACAAATCAACCCATGCTGTCCATCAAGGACTGTTCTACCAAAGCTTCCCAAGAATATTTTGGCCATCATTACGTCGTAACACTGCAGACAAAAGAAAAGGATATCGTACGCAGTCAAGAAGAAAAGAACAATGTAGTAAGGAAGCACCATGCAGCTTAGTGCTTGTGCAACTTGTCCTTGATCTTCTGCTTCAAGCTGGTCTTGTCCTTATGTCCGTGCTGGTCATGTTCAAGGGCTTCGGTGTTACCAACGAGGGAGCCATTAGCGTCATCCCTGTGGATTCCCTTTGACTCGAGAATGCCTGATGAAAATATTGTCAGTCACTCGGTTGAAAATGCTAAATTCAGGAAAGTCACTTACGATCAGCGTCGACACCAGCTCCAGGTGCCGCCGCATCAAAGTCGCCGCCATCTGCCTGAAAGCCAGTAGCATGGTGGATAGGGTGCGACTCCGGCTTGGCCTGCTCCTCCTTGGGGGGGCCGTTCTGGGGGTCCTTGACACCTCCGTCCTCGACCTTGCCAGCAACTCCGCCATGCTGCTGGGCAACTTCTCCTAAAGACTTGGGGCCAGAGCCAAGGCCCTTGTTGGGGTTCTCGTCGGCATCCAAGCCACCATCACGGTCATCGACGTTCTCCCTCGCGTTTACATGAGTGGGGTGCGTAGAAGGATCATTCGGGGAACGAATGTCGTTCTGGGCCTGAGTACTGTCGCCAGGATGAAGAGACGAATCCTGGGTAGCGGCTGGGTTGACCTTGGGTACGTCGTGCTTGGAGGAGCTCTGATCCTGGAAGGTAGTGGATTGCTCGGCCGGAATGTTCCTGTGGGACGAGAAGGTATCGTTCAGGGGCTCGGGAGCGTCAGCCGTGTGGGTGGTAGTCGTGGGGAACGAAGTGTTGCTGTCAAGGGGCTTGACAGCGGTGGTCTTGGGCGCGGCGACGTTGTAGTGAGAGTCAATCTTGGGAGTAATACTATCGGGGCCCTGGAACGCGTTGGTCTTGGGGTTGACAGTAGAGTGCTCGGGGATGTTGTAGTGGTTGTCAATCCTAGAGTTGACGGTTGGTGGGCTGTGGTCCTTCTCCGCCTCTGGTACCTTGACCAGGTTCGCTGGCTTGGGCTCAGTTCCGTCCTTCTTCACAGGGCCAGCAGCGTCCTGGGCGACGGTACGATCGGGGACCATCTTCTCGCCGACAGCCACTCCGGTGCTTTGGCTGGGTTCTAGAACAAAAGCGTGTCAGGATCAAGTTAAGAGTAAACCATGTCGAGAGACGCACTCACCCATGTTACCAGCGTCGTAGGGCTCTCCCTTGGAGACATCGCCCGTCTTGCCCGAGATAGGCTCCTCATGGGACTGGCCAGTTCCATAAACGGCGTCCACGGCTGCCTTGGAGGCCTGAGCGGCAAGGTTAGAAGCCTCAACGGCGAGGTTGGAAGCTTCAACGGCAACGTTGCTAGCAGTGGTGGCAGCAGAGCTGGCGACCTTGTTGATGGTCTCCATGATGGGCTAAGGTGGGTATCAAGGATTGGCGTTGTGCTTTCTTTTTGTTTTTCTTTTTCTCGTGGCAAGTAAACAGATGGGTATCTCGAGAAATGGTATCAGGTGTAAAGATCTTTGGTAGTTGAGAACAGAATAGACGTGGTAGACGGAAGGGAAAGAAGTGAAATTGTTTGCTATTTTATTCTTGTTCAGAGTGGGGGTACACGACGGACCCTTTCGATGACAAGGCTGGCCTCTTACCTCATTGCTTCACGAGGCCGCTGACGTCTTTGTTGCAGACTTGATTTGGATTCTGGGAAGGAGGGGCCCGCCTCGGGTTGTCATCCGAGGAGGCCTGGCCAAGCAAACGTGCCTTCCATCGTCTGAGCTTGTCCATAAAACATCCCAACCCCCCCAGCCTTGGACGGACCTGACGGAACGGAATCTCCACACCCTCTGGGTTGTTCGGGGGACATTATGGCCACTGATCGTCGCCGCCGAGAGGTTCAACCGACAGCTTGTACGCATTTTGTACATCTCAGGGTCCCTTCCTAAGCAAAGTACACTACCAGCCAGCCATAGATTGGCCGTAGTACACAGCACACATCCCAAGTTTCCCTTTCTCCATCCCATCTCCAACTCTCCAGTCGCTGTCACTGTTTCGTTTTCTGGTGTCGGTCACAAGCGTTGTTCCTTTTCGTATAATACGCCATCGTGCATGATTTATCAGACAATCCTTGACTGCTGTTTTAATACTTTCACACGAGCGAGCAAATCTTCAGTTATGTTAGTTGAATTGGATCGATGAGAGGTTCAAAGAACAAAGACAAGAAGAAGTTGCCGTGGTGGGGGAAGAGCTAGCTGATGACGCCAGTTTCAGCCCACCTTTCTCCAACGAACTATCAAACGTACAATTACGTCACAGAAGCTCCCCTCCACGTGCTGTGCGTGGTGTACATAGTAAGCCATCAGGGCAGTACCTAGCGCAGTAAGTGCGGGGCTTTCTCCATTACAGCAGGCGCGGTTATGCGCGGGACCCCCTCCTCACTTTCTTTCTTCAAGGAACCTCTCAGAGCCGCGCTGTCAGGTTTTTATACTTCAGTTCTCTCGGGCAAGCTTCGTTCCTTCATTGCCAGTTATCCTTGGGCTTCGTGTGGCTTGCCTTCACCATGTTTTTTTTTGGTTGGCGAACTGGAGGGATTCCGAGCAGCCCCCACGTCAACCACTCATCGAATGGAAGGTCCACACCGGGCAGCCACTAAACTCCATTCCACTGTGTTGCAGTGTTCCGTCAAGTTGCACTCCATTTCGGGCGCTACCCGTGCCTCGCCCCCCACACCCGCTGTGCCCTGACGAGAGCGAAACCCACCTGTAAGGCCGGGCCGGGCCTCCATTGACCAAAGTCCTGTCCCGTTTGCTTGCACAGGTACAACCGACACCAGCCAATGCTTGCTTCAAACAAAACAACCGATGTCAAGCATTGCACAAGGGTTCGATTCAGGACAAGACGACTTCTACCCGACTGTGGAATGCTATCATCATCATCATCATCATCGAGAAATCTGGCTGCGACAAATGTTGCGAAAAGAGTCCGGCATCTTCTGTAAACCTCGCGGGAGGTGAATGACACGAATGGCCTGCCTGAGTGCCAGTTGATGGCTTTGTTTACTTGCCCCTTTTCTTGCCTCCGGGTTTTCACTTTTACGGTCATCCAGCTTTGTCTTCCTACTCCACTGCCCGTCATCAAAATAAGCTTAATTAATTTGACAATTCGTATCTAGTAAACAAAGATAAGAGAGCTAACATTAATCGTTATGTGTATGTACAAGAAGAACTACAAGAATACCATTATATCAGGAACGACAGACGCCCAAGGCAAAATGAAACCACAAAAGCCACACCTCATCCTCTCGCTCATCCGCCAGTCCTCCTCAACAACCCTGCTGGTCCTCTTCACAACCTCCATCCCGCTGCATCTACACCTGCCCTCACTCTCCTCCACCTCGTCCGCACCACCGGTACTGTAGCGTTCACCGCACTACCGGTAGCATTCGCCGCACTCCCTGCGCTCGCCATTCTCGCCGCCGCAAAGTCCACTTTCCCACCACCCACCGCCACAATGAACACCTTTGGATCCCCCGCTGCCACGGTACCAGCGACGTTTTCCTTCTCCGTTCTTGACACATCGTCATACGGGAACGCATACCCCTTTCCTTTCGGGCTATTCTGGTGCACCACTCTGCTGTAATGATTCGTGATATTGTTGCTCTTGTAAAACGTGCTGATTTCCTCGCCAGCCGGTTGGTTGTTGTTGATCAGCAACGTACTTCTGTTCAAGGCTGCCGCCAGACGCGCCCCGACGTTTCCTCGGAACGCCTGGATGTCGAGCTCGGCTTCGGTCGCGTTCACCGGTAACGGTGGAAAGGCGAACGGACCCGTGGAACAAGAGAAGATATCGGCCGCCGACGGCTGATCAAATGTAATCGTCTCGCTGTTGTTCGATCGGAACGTCAACAGACCCGTCCCCGGGTCAACCCTTCCCTTAACCACCCCCCATTTGTTCTGCGTATCCACCATCAAATCTTCCTTTGCATACTTCTCCCAAACTTGCTTCACATAGCTGTCATAATACCCGCTGAACAAACTCTCCTTTCTCGCTTCAGCCATCACCACCGCCGAATTGGGACTCATCACCCTCGTTACTTGCCCATCACTCTTCCTTCTCACCACCAGCTTCTCCCAATCCCCGCCGGCCTGCTTCAGTTCATCGACCACCTTATTCAAGCCGGTTTCATACCCCATCCCTTCAACCTCTTGGTTATCTTCCGGCTTCCCCGTAGTCCTGATGACGCCGAGAGAGGCAGGACACTTCCCGACCAAATCCACCATCGAGACATTGGCAAACAGCTGGAACTCGTTAAAGGTAAACTCGACAAACCCCCACTCCTTCTCATAGTTGACGTCTTTGTCGTTGGTGACACTCGGTTCCACCAACGCCAAGCCCGCTCCTTTTCCATCTTGCGGCACTCCGTCCACCGGATTCAAAAAGAACTCCAGCTGCGAATCGACGGAGAACCAGATCCTCGCTCCCGCCAGGCGGGGGATAGTTACCGTGCGAGGAGACGAAGAACCGGGGGCGTTGAGCGGGATGGCGATATCGGAAGGCGGGATGGGGGTCAGGGTTTTGTTTACGGATGCATAAGTGTAAGCGGCGTTGCCGCTGGCGGAGAGGACGAAGAGGCCACCGTCCAGGGTTTGGCCGGTGATATAGGCGTACACGGTGGAGGAGGGGGTGTTGTTCTCGAGGGAGATGGTGAGGGTCTCGGGGGTTGTTTGGTTGGTTTTGGCGGAAGAGAGGGTGCTGTTCTGGAAGGAGACGGTGAGAGGCTGAGGCATGGTTTCGGGAGTTATGGGTGCGCCAAGGGGAGCGGTAAGTTGACCGGTGTTGAAGTATGGGTAGCCGGGTGGTTGAGTTCGTTGCGGAAACATGGAGAGAATTGCCATTATGGCCGAGTTGATGAGTTGTTGTTTCATGGTGGACTTGGTGATAAATAAATGAATGGAAAACAAGCCGTAAGGACAGATGGGGCTGCTTGTATGAAAGAGATGAGAAGGGGGTATCAGGTGGGATGGTAGGATGACAGGTAGGTATGCCTCTTAATATCTTTCTTTAGTTGAAAATGCTACCCATTCCGCAGAAAAGTGAAGCGTGATTCTCTCAACTGACTGAGATCAAGGCGTCTGTCCAGATGTGAAAGCCCACTTTATATCCTGTTTGTACTACTTTTTCCATATTCCAGTCAAAGACAGGTAGATGCAATGACAAAATCGTGATCCACGGTACGATCCGAGGAGGGTTAAGAAACCAAGAGAAGAAAAAAAATCCCGAACACCTGCCCTCAACTGGTGATACGCCCACAAGATCATCGGCTCTTCACATCACTGATATTCAGGCCCCTGGACTTGGCAAGGTTCAAACTTGAAAGCTTCTCAAATCTCCTTCTGTCCAATCCTTCGACAAAAAACCATGGCCAGATAGTCCCCCACCACCTTTTCGGATGTGTAGCCAACCTCTGACTTCCAACTGTTAACGTCACTAAATCGCCAACCAAGTATAGTTGCGTATATCCCCTTTCGTAGTATCACTATCTCTGTTTCTATTGCTACTACTTCCACCACTGCTATTGTCATTGTTGATTGGACCGTTGCTACGTTGCCTAACAGCTTCCTCATCATCTATACTATGGCGCTTTCGCTCCTTGTTGGTCTGTTGATCCTCAGGTACATCGTATACCCGCTCTCTTCCTTGTATATCAACGGCCTTAGCTTGAAGATTCTGAACCAGTTTACATCATGCGCATTTTGGGTAATGCGTCTTGTGGTGTAAGACATATGATGGCTTATACATTTGAAGATGGCGCACACCCAAAAAAAAAGTGGGGAGGGGGGGAATATTTTGTCCAAGCATGGATGGATCTCGCCCCTTCTTCGAAACCTCCGAAAGAACATCAGACCCTAACTTGTTGTTGTACCTGCCTTAGCAATTATTGTTCCGGTCCGGCTGAGACAGATTGGGAACTTAAGCAAGGCACCAACCAACCCTCCCAGCCGCCAATCCTCTCCCAGATGGAAGGATTCCCGAGCGGATGGCTGGTGACCCAGCCCTTAATTTTCTATACCTAATCTTTCCCCGCTGACATGACATGACATTGACCGATCAGATCCAGCAGCACGTCGTTCGTCCGTCTGCAGGTCATCCAGTCATCCGGAGCCCGGTATCGATGAAACAGATGATCAAAGGCGGTCACATATGCAATTGTTGCAACGGGATCGATGAATTGGGGCTAGCGTCATGAGAAGTCGTTATGCGGCTTGGCGCGACCGGAGCGCAGGCCCGCAACGGTCGATATGTATACATATATATACACCACGTTTTTTGGTTGTATTGACATGATGCAAAGACTTCTCGCTTGTCAAGTCAAAAGGCATGTAGGGTTTTATACTTGATACCTACCGGGCCTTGATCAATCATTGACGGATGCGAGGAAACAACCAAAAATATTAGCCCAACAAAAGCACATCATCCAGAGGAAGGGCACATATCGGTAATTCTCTCCCGATTGGATTCTGCACACAAACAGGTAAACATGACACAAGCAAAAAATCTAAACGAGGGCTTCGATCGTAGGTAGGTTTGCCATGGAACTCGGTCACTCGGTTCCTTGGAAACAACCCAGTCAGTAACAGCGTTTGGGAGGGGGTTATCTGTATGTATGTCTTGCTTTCCCGTGTGAGGCTAACCTTGGCGTAGGTTGAAACCAAAAATCCTGTGAGAAGTATGTATGACTTCAGTTGTGTTCTGTCGAAGACTTCCTCGCGGAGGGAACTAGCGAACCACTCAAGGACTGAAAGTGTCAACCACCGACCTTCCACTTATCAAGTCCGTCAGTCCTCTCCCACTGCATCCTATCCTACCTACTCACCTACTATCATTGT